ATGCATGTTTTTTGTGGTGAGTCGTATGGACTCATGGATAAGATATTTACACGTTTCAGACCAATTTAAGAATTTTGGCATCGATTTGTTAGAGTATATTTTTGCATATTTTACCCATAAGAGCATAATTTTGCATGATTTAACTTTTGTAGCATATTTAAGGCATATTTTCGAGTTTTTAGAGCATATTTTACTCTTTTAGTGCATATTTTGAAGTTTTTCGCTTTTTTCATTTTTGTACATTTTTAATTTTCTTTTCAAAACTTTATTTAAAAAAATCAAATTTAATTTTTTTTATTTTTTTAGCCTATTTTACAATTTTGAAAAAAATTATTTTCTTTCTAGAACTTGAAAACTGCAAAAAATACATTAGTCTCATGAAAACCAATGTTATATTTTTTATTCAATAAAGCATTAAATTTTAAATCGGACATAAAACCGATTACTTTGGATTTCATGACACCAATCCATTTTTATCTTTTAAAAAGCTAGTATTGATAACACTGTAAGTATGTCAAAAAGACACAGAAAAACGCCGAGACACCTAAACTTAATTTTGGGTCGTACAATCTAGTGGCTTACTCCGTTTTGAAAATTTAGGTTAAAATCGGGAGATATTGTGATTTAAAGTATGAACTGATTATGAGGTGATTTTTTAATTTTTAAATTTTTCTGTGTCTTTTTGAAAGTTGAAATTTTACTTACAGTGTTATTATTGGATTTTATGACAACACCGATTAAAATGTCAGTTTAGAAGCTATGAATACAATTGGAAGAAATGTGTCAAACTTTGTCGTTTGAAATATGTTTTTTTGGGGACCAAATGGCTTCATGTTATTTATTGGTTATCTGAACGTAAAACAGAGTTCTATTAAACTAGTTCTTCAATCTATCAGATGAATCAATTATAAAAAATCTAGTAGGATGAAATATGACATTAAATATTTATTATTTCATTACAATTTCAGTCTTTTTAAGTTTTTCAATGTTAAAATATAATTCAAAATAATTATTTTTGGAGCATATTTTTTAAATTTTAAGAGCATATTTTGAGTTTTTTACGGCATATTTAAAATGCTTAAAACACTTTTTTTAGAGCATGTTTTCGGTTTCCCTGGTAATAAAGTAAGAATTAATTCATATAAGAGCAACAAAAAAAAATCATATAAAAAAAACAAACAAAAATTATATATTATAAATTCAGGTCTCATGAGCTACAAATAAATAAGATTTAATATTCTCTTTTTTCGGCCTCTCCAAAGAAGACCCATCCAAAAACTGTATCCTGAAGATATATACGACCTGGACGTCCTTTGGCGGGGCCTTTCAGCACACGACTGGTTACATCAGCTCCCAAAATTAGATAATATTTCTTGCTCCGAAACCAATAGCGACAAGCACAAGCATCATTTCTTGCGTATCTTTCCTCTCGATCAACATCAGTGCTGGGGCTGCTGCCATAGCTTGTCCTCCACCGCACATTCAACGGTTATCAGACGATGTCCATCTTCATGACCGTGTAAAACGGTGATGGTGGTTCGTCCATTAATAATTACACATTTCATGTTCTTTGCCTCGCTTAATATTATAGAAGATCGTGATGCATTGGGGTCGATAACAGCTCGCGTCCAAGCGGCTTCCTTGCCTGGTCGAGTAATAACACGCACTTGTGCGGTCATTTTGACCCACACTCGACCCTCTGGCATGGGATGCAGCCAAGAGTGGTGATCAAGCATACAACGGTAGCATCGGTCTATGCTTCGGCATTCTGTACGGCTATGTGATTGTGCTAGACAGTTGTAACATAGCGTATGTTGAGCTACAACGCGAAGCTTCTGCTCCAATTCCATCACGACGAAACGCGAGCATGTGCGGATGGCGTGTAAACGATCGCACAATGGACAACAATAATCAACAACAATAATCACTCAGTTCTTTTAGATGTTTCTGAAAATTTGAATTAAGTTCTCGCGAAGCTCCAACAAAATTTCTACCGTTGTCTGAAAATATACAACTTGGACAACCACGGCGAGCTATGAACTGATCTAACGCTGCTAAAAAGGCAGGTGTTGACAAGTCACTAACCGCTTCGAGATGTATAGCCTTAGTAGCAAAACAAACAAAGAGGCACACATAACCCTTTGTAATACGACAGTAACGACCCGTAAAACTTTTGATTTCAAATGGGCCAGCAAAATCAACGCCTGTATTAGTGAAAGGACGACTTAATGTAGTTCTTTCTGCGGGCAACGCTGCCATAATCTGTGTTTGAAACTTCTTTCTATATAAAGTGCAAACCTTGTAATTATGAATTACAGTTCTTATCAAGTTTTTAACCTTGATTATCCAACACTCTTGACGAACAACATTTAGAACTAGGCGAGGTCCCCCATGATGAACTAATTGATGTACAAATTCCACATATAAACGAGCTAATCAACTGTTATATGCAAGTATAATCGGATGTCGTTCATTATAGGACAAACCTGAAGCAGAACCAAGACGACCATTAGCACGAATCACATTGTATTTGACTATAAATGATGTGAGAGTTAACAAAGGACTATTCAATTTTTCAATTTTCAAAGATTCAATTTTCTTCTTCGCAGTTAAACTATTATACTCAGTAGGGAAATGTAGTTGTTGGGATAAGAAAAATATCCGATTGCGAACATAAAATAATTCTTGTGCCGAAATTCTAGTAGAGTCATAATTGATAGACTTACGCCTGCTCTTACTTGCGAGATTAAAAAATCTGAAGATGTAAGCAATTATATGGTATGCTCTAGGTAAGCTTGAGAAACGCAACAGAATATCTTCCATCTCGGACGATCTAGTAATATTAACTTGAACCCTTTTTACATCTTCGGTTGTTTCATGTTCTAATGGCCCTTTGGGCCAATAGGTCTTCTTCATTCTGAGCCACTCAGGGCCATGCCACCATAGTTTTTTGTTCTCGAAAGGGGTCAGCAAAGGGTCAGGGGTCACAAAAACCGTGAAATTCAATATTATAACCTGGTCTATATTGTAACTAGGGTGATCGATTATTCGACATTTTCCAAAAATCGGTTTTCGAATAGTTCGAATAGTTAACATTTCAAAAAAACCGGTTGATATTTTTCAAATTCAGAAAAAAACGGTTAACCGGTTTTTCATAATAAATAAAAAAAGTATATGTTAATTTGAAGAAATTAATGTTTATGTTTAAATTTGATTAATAAAACATGGCCTGAAATGATTTTTAACATTTTAACAGATTATAACTTTAGATCTAGTCGTCTGATTTACATTATTTCTTTAATATAAAAAAAAAAATTAGGAAAAAAGTGGACACTTCTTTTAAACATAAGGTACTATGTAATCCTAGCTTATTCTAAAGCCCTTTTAGGAAATTTTCATAGGCATTCCAACACTTCCATAATATTTCAGCGGTAAATTAATTATTGTAATAGGAATATAATCTTAAGATTAATAAAATTTTATCAAACAGTTATCAATTTTACAAATAAAATTTTTTAATTAATTAGGAAAATCAAAAAAGTTTAACCAATGGTGCTTTAGAAAAATATATACTAGTTCTTGGACTCGAATATTTTTAAAATTTAAACGGGCTGTATTATTTACTTAAAAATTTCATTTAAATAATCTTTGAATACAAAGCAAATAAAAGTATTCGAAACCGGGTTTTAAAAAGTGAAAAAACCGGGTTATTCGATATTCGAAAAATCAACATTTAGAAAAAACCGACACTGGTAAAGCAGAAAAAACCGGTTTTAAAACCGGTTGAAAAATCGAGTCGATCACCCTAATTGTAACCAACGAGAAAGTCTAATATTGTCAATATCATTATATTTCAAAATAAAATCTTGCCATTTTTTTAAAGTTATGGGCTTTATGGTATCATTACACTCGGATCTTATCGAGCCACATTTGTTGCATCAAAACTTTTGCCGTAATAACAACTGGAGCTAGCCATCCAGCTGGATCGAATAGTCGAGCTATCACCGAAAGAACCTCTCGCTTTGTATAATATGTTTTCATCCTTATTTTTTTCAGTAGAAAAGTAAAAACAATCTTCTGCGGCGTTCCATCGTATACCAAGCATTTTTGTAATACTTTTATCATCAATGGACAAAAACGAAGAATTCAGAAGATGCTCTTGGGGCAAATTTTTTAAAATTTGTTTACAGTTTGAGGTCCATTTACGTAGCTCAAACCCCGCAGCATCCAAAATACCAATTAATTGGTCTCTCGCTTCTAACGCAACAGGAATAGAATGAGCTCCTACAAGAGCATCATCAACATACATAAATTCACGAAGAATCCGAGAGCCAAATGGAAAACGTCGTTCTTCATCTTCAGCCAACTGAATAAGAGTTCTAAGAGCTAAATATGGAGCACAGTTTACCCCAAATGTGACAGTATTTAATTGAAAATCAACAATTTCATTCTTCTCAGAACTACGAAACAATATTTTTTGGTAGGGCCTATGTTCTGGCGTTATGAAAATCTGTCGGTACATTTTTGAAATATCTGCATTAAAAACATACTAAAGGAATCTCCATTTTAATATAAGATTCACTAACTCAGTTTGTAAAGTTGGGCCAGTGTATAACAAGTCGTTGAGATTTTTTCCATTAGACGATACACTTGAAGCATTAAATACAACTCTTAATTTTGTAGTTGTACTTTCAGGTTTAAATACTCCATGATGAGGTAAATAGTACCCAGGACCACTATCTGAGTTCTCTGTTTTCTCCATATGTCCTAATGATATGTATTCTTTTAGGACCTCATCATATTGAGCCTTAAAATCTTGTTTACGAATCAATGCCTTTTCATTTCTTGAATATTGATTAAGGGCAATATGCCTATTTGGGCCAAGTGTCTCATAATTCGTCTTAAATGGCAAATTGACAAAATATCTTCCTTCTGAATTTCTTGTGGTAGTAGAGCTATAGATTTCCTCACATTTTTTATCCTCTTCTGATAAAATCTTCCTATGAGAAACTTCCTCTAATTCCCAAAACTTGGCCAACAAAATATCTTCCTTCCGAATTTCTTGTGGTAGTAGAGCGATAGATTTCCTCACATTTTTTATCCTCTTCTGATAAAATCTTCCTATGAGAAACTTCCTCTAATTCCCAAAACTTGGCCAACTGATTAGAAATGCAAACTTTCGTCATAAAAGACATTTGCATTATCCGTGGGGAAACATTGTTAGGTGTTGGACCAGTAACAATCCAACCAAAGATAGTTTCCTGTGCAACTAGGGAATCAAAAATCCCATGCTTAACTCCTCCACGAATAATTAAAGGATATAGATCACCTTCTAATAGCAAATCAATTTGATCACTTTCAAAGAATTTAGGGTCTGCATAATTTAAATTCGGTAGTTCATTTTTCTTTATGTGATTGAATGATTGAGTTGGTACGTTGCCTGTTACCCGAGACACCACTAAAGCTTCTACGTTAAGAGACAAATTTTAGTCGTAAAGAGAAACTACTACAAAAGATGCTATTTTAGAAGATTTACTTATAACATCTCCACCTAATCCAGTTATTTCAGCTGAAACAGGGCTATTTAATAATTTTTGTATTTTCTCGGAAATAAAACTTTCGGCAGAACAAGGATCGATAAGAGCCCGTGCTTTATAGTAGGAACCATGACTAATAATATTGACCCAAGCTGTGGCTAACATAACCTTTTTAGAGACCAAAGTGTGATGTGATTGAACTACTCCCGATGGGCCAGCAACATTAGTGGACTGTACTTTGGATGCATTATTTTGGCTATTTTGATTATCATTTTGTGACGTATTGGTTTGACTCTGAATGTTCTTTCTCACAAATTCTCTATGCATAAGAGTATGGTGTTTTCTGGTGCATTTAGAGCAATTATTTGGAGTATTACAATCGCCATACATATGGCCAATAGTAAGGCAATTGAAGCAGAAACGAAACTTTTTTAATGTTGAAACTCTGGCTTTGTAGTTCATATTTAAAAACTTGTTGCAGGAACTTATTTTGTGATTTTCTTTGCATAATTTACATTGTAGAGAATCAACTTTTATATGATGGGCCTTAAATTGTTTTACTTTAACTGATGTCTGATTAGTACATGTCTGATTGGTTGTTTGGGAACCACTGGAAACTATAAAATTCGTTGCTATTATGTCAGAAACACTCTCAAGTGCATGAAACCTATCGGACATGAAATTATCTGTCTTATTTTTCACCGATTGTTCCCAAAGATTTAAAGATGTTTCAGATAAACGAGAAGAACATTGGAAAACAAAAATAGGGTCCCATGATTTAATGTCTATATTATAGAGCTTTAGAATTGCCATACAATTATTAATTTCCCATGATTTAATGTCTATATTATAGAGCTTTAGAATTGCCATACAATTATTAATTTCCCTTTGAATTCTTTTAATTTCTGTTGCTGACTCATTTTGACAAGGAGCTAAATTAAACAGTAATTTCAACTGACCATTGATTAGAACTCTTTTATTTTCATATTGTAATTTCAAATTGTTCCAAGCAATATCAAAATTTTCTGCCGTTAACGCTATATTCCTATTCACATCTCTTGCCTCACCATCCGTTTTCCTAAACAAGTAAAAAAGTTTCTGCACTGGACTAAGTTTACTGTTATTTATGTAAATATTCTGAGGTGAAGATTCGATATGTTCTTCCATTTGACCTAAACTTTTCTTTGCCTTTGAAAGTATATTGATACATCTCACATATGTCTTACGCACTTGTGGATGTTTTATTTGGACCATTAATAATTCCTTCTTCTTTTCTATTGTATCTACGGAACAGTCATCGTAAAGGCTTTTGTAATTTTCCCACGCTTTGTTTAATTCTTTTTTTTTTCAAATTCAAAAGCGTCCTCTGTGTAATTTGAAAAATCTTCGCTTTTAAGCATAGCCTCAAAGTTAATAATTTCGTCCGCTGCTACAATGTATTTTTCAAAAATCGACATATTGGCAGAAGTCATTTATAAAGAGATATTATCGATAGTTTAATATAAGAGCAACTTTTCCCAAACAAATAAGAGTAAGAAAAAATATGAGAGATACACTTATAAAATAGCAAAAACAATTAAGTTTTCCAATAAATATTGGAAATCGAGAAAAAACAAGATGGACGACAGTGCTTTGGAAAACTTGGAATAAGAAAAGAATGTTGGTGTATAGAAAAAATTAAATCTTAAACTCACGATGCAATTTTGTAACATAACCTCACTTTCGCCGAGCCACAAATTGTGTATTATAATGTATGAAACACTTTGTAGATTTTTATAATACAGAAATACGCACCTTTTCTACTTAAGTTTTTTGCTGATTTTTTGGGAGAAGGACCAAATGTTAGCGTGTACCTGTGTTGATGATGGTCGCTGGTTAAAGGTGGCCGGTGGCTTGGGCCAGGTCGTGATCTCGTTGAGTATCGATTGATGTTCACTAAGAAGAAGCCGGTACGTTGAGGCAGGTCGCGGCTGGTTTAGTTGTTCCCTTAGACACAACGTGTTGCAATCCACACTTATTTTACAGACTCTTTATTCTGAACTTAGAACACTCGTTATATTATTCAAAATTCACTTTTAGTTTTCTTTTAATTTTAACCAAGTTTTATTTCACAATATTTGTCCTTTCCTTTTCTACTTGCCTTTTTTCTCCAGCCGAATTCAATAAAAACAAGTCAGAGTGCTATATTCGGCTGTGCCGAATCTTAAGTACCGTCCACCAGCTACTTATACATATATTAATACTTTTCTAATTGATCAAATATTTGTAGAAGTAAGTTTTCTCATGTCTTGAATAGAAAAAATACAAAGATTTAAACAGCTTAAATCTATTACAATTCCATGATTTATTGAACATTACAAACACCATTTTCTTTATATTTTTATAGCGCTTAGCGATATTTAGTAATTTGCATGTATGCATGTGTGTAAAAGATTTAAGGATTTTCAAAATAAATATATATAATTTTGTTCTACGCAAATTGATAATGCAACTAGTTAAATACGGTTAAAGCGCTTTTAGGGGCAGGACATAGTATGGGAGATATGACCAATTATAGACCGATCGTAAAAAATTCTTTAAGCAAAATTTCTGTTCATAAAAGCTATTTTTCAGTCAAATTTTGTGATAAGTGATTTTCTGAAGGGAACCTTGTATGGGACCGACCGCACCTATGTTATGAACCGATCGTGAAAAAATCTTGAAATAGAATTTTTGTATACAAAATTAATATTTGGGCCAAATTTTTTATCAATAGCTTTATTTGGTAATGAGTAATGTGCGTTTAAGAGATTTTCGTAAAAGGACTTTGTATGGGAGCTATAACCAATTATGTATATAAAGACAAAATTTCAAAATTCTGTATCTATATCATTATTTGGTAATGAATATTGTGCATTTAAGTGATTTTCTGGAGGGGACCTAGTATAAGAGCTATGACCAAATATGGACCGATCGTAAAACAATTTTATAGTTTAATTTATGTATATAAGAGCACTATTTTTGCTAAATGTATGGATATCAATATTTTGTAATGAGTTATGTGCGTTTAAGTGGTTTTCGGGAGGGAACCTTGTATGGGAGCTATGACCAAAGTTGGACCGATCATGAAAAAATGCTCAAATAACATTTCTGTGTACAAAAGTAGTATTTATGCCAAATGTTTTATGGGTATCACTATTTGATAATGAGTTATGTGCCTTTAAGTGTTTTTCTGAAAGGGACCTTGGGAGCTATGATCAATTATGGACCGATAGGAAAATAAATTCACAGTAATATATGTCTGTATATCAGCAATGCTTCGTGCATATGTGGATATCTTAATTTTGTAATGAGTTATGTGCGTTTAAGTGATTTTCGGGAGGGGACTTTGTATGGGAGCTATGACCAATTATGGACCGCTCGGAGAAAAATTTCACAGTAATATTTTCGTGCATATGAGCAATATTTGTACCAAATTTTATGTGGATATCTTTATTTTGTAATGAGTTATATGCGTTTAAGTGATTTTTGGGAGGGGACCTTGTATGGGAGCTATGACCAATTATGGACCGCTCGGAGAAAAATTTCACAGTAAAATTTCTGTGCATATGAGTAATACTAGTACCAAATTTTATATGGATATCTTAATTTAGTAATGAGTTATGTGAGTTTAAGTGATTTTCTGGAGGGGGCCTTGTATGGGAGCTATGACCAATTATGGAGCGATCGGGGAAAATTTTCACAGTAATATTATCGTGCATATGAGCAATACTTGTACCAAATTTTATGTGGATATCATAATTTTTTAATGAGTTATATGCGTTTAAGTGATTTTTGGGAGGGGACCTTGTATGGGAGCTATGACCAATTATCAGACCGCTCGGAGAAAAATTTCTCAGTAAAATTTCTTTGCGTATCGGCAATTCTTATACCAAAATTTATATGGATATCTTAATTTAGTAGTGAGTTCTGCGCGTTTAAGTGATTTTCGGGAGGGGACCTTGTATGGGAGCTATGACCAATTAGGGATCGATAGAACAAAAATTTCACAGTAATATTTCTGTATGTGAGGGCAATACTTGTACCAAATTCTATATGGATATCTTAATTTAGTAATGAATTATTTGCGTTTAAGTTATTTTCGGCAGGGGACCTTGTATGGGAACTATGTCCAATTATGGACCGATCCAGAAAATTTTTCTGAATGAATTCTATTCACATAAGATTTGAATTTGTAAAATTTTGTAAAGATTTCGACATTGTGACGGAAGTTATTAACAAAAAACCCATTTTCCGGGAATATGTACTTTTGTATGGGAGGTATATGAAATTGTTGACCAATTCTGGCAATTTTCAGTAGGTGTCAAGCTCTTGTGTAGAAACGAATGTATAGTGATCTTCATGGAATTATCTTGCATAGTTTTCGAGAAAATTACATCAGAATGTGTAAAAAATTATTATTTTTTTCGAGGTTGTTTCAAATTTTGATTCATAACTTTTCCCGGTGTGAACCGATTTTGCTTATTTTCAGTACCAAACTGCCTAGGACAATAATAAATATTTTGCGTGAATTTCGTTAATTGTTGTTGCTTCGTGTTAACGTGAGAATGTTTTATACATACAGACGGACGGACGGATGGACATAGCTAAATCGACTCAGAATTTCATAAGGTCCAAGGATATCTATACTTTGTTGAATATTTCTTGTTGTTACACACGGAATGACAAAGTTATATATACCCTCTATCACCACTGCTGGTGGTGGAGTGTATAAAAATGACTAAAAATGAGGCAAAAATAAAAAATTGATAAAAAGTAGATTAAGGAAGTCCTAAATTTTATATTATTACATTTTTTTATGAGTTGATTATTTAAATTTATTTGTTTTATTTAATTTTTGTTATTTGTCCCTTTAAATATATTTTATTTCTTTAATTTGATATATATTTATTGAGCCACCATAATGTCGTTTACAAATGTATGATCATTGTTGTTATTACACACTCAAAAATCAATACTCATTTTCAAATATTTTTCCAGCACTACTGAAGGAAGATGCTCAGTAAAAACCTCTTAACTCAAAATTTTCTCGTATTGAATATATTGTATCGAAAATATACTAAAATTTTAAAAAAGAATTAAAACAAGTAAGAATGCTATATTCGGCTGTGCCGAATCTTATATACCCTTCACCACAGTGTATTTAAAAAATATCAATTCTATAAAATTTTCATTTTCCCGTTTATATCATTATTATAGCAATAACAAAACGAACAACAACAACGCTAAACGAAATAAACACACAAAAAAACAAAATACACAAGGCAGTAAAACCAACAGACATCCAAACATACGAAACGAAATACACAAAAAAAAAACAAAAACAAAATACACAACGCAACGAAACCAACAGACATCCAAACATACGAAACTGAATACACCAAAAAACAAAAACAATATACACAAGGCAATGAAACATGCGAAACGAAATACTCAAAAAAAGCAAAAACAAAATACACAACGCAATGAAACCAACAGACATCCAAACATACGAAACTGAATGCACCAAGAAACAAAAACAATATACACAAGGCAATGAAACACACAGCCATCCAAACATATGAAACGAAATACTCAATGAATAAGCAGTGTTGTTGTTGTTGCTTATATCAAAGCATGAAAAAAATTGTCTTTTTAATGAAATTTTCAGAGGTTGTCTCGGATTTTTGCTCATATCTCCGGTATTTATCGACCGATTTTGCTGATTTTAAATAGCGATTTTCTCGAAAGCATGTCTAACAGAATTATTGAAGATTCGGATCTCGCCGATATCTGGGGTCCTCTAAAAACTGATTTCAACAAACACACAGACGGACAGAAAGATGGACATAGCTATATCAACTCCGCTAAGGCCTTTTTACTACCTCTTTTTTGTTTTTCTGTGTATTTCGTTTTGTAAGTTTGGATTCTGTTGGTCTCATTGCGTTGTGTATTTTGTTTTTCTGTGTATTTCGTTTCATATGTTTGGATGTCTGTTGGTCTCATTGCGTTGTGTATTTTGTTTTTCTGGGTATTTCGTTTCGTATGTTTGGATGGCTATTGATTTCATTGCGTTGTGTATTTTGTTTTTCTGGGTATTTCGTTTCATATGTTTGGATGTCTGTTGGTCTCATTGTGTTTTTCAGGGT